AGCTAATTTTCTAAGAATTTCAAAAATGCAAAAATATACAGGGTGTTCTATTTAAAAAAATTACTTTTATTGGCGCACCCTGTATACCCATGGTGACAAAAAAATATCATTGTAGCGATTAAGATCGTTGTAATTTACCAAGAAATTTTCCAATTTAAATATGCCCTTTATTTTCAATAATGAAAAAACAACTGAGTGTTCCAGTTACGAACAAACACCCTCTACAATAGTTTTTCTAAAGACGTGCGGAAAAAAGTAGGTACATATACCTACACTACATAATTTGTAGTAATTTATGGTTTTTTTTTTTTTGAAAATATTTTTCCGCACCGATATCCGTGCGGAAAAAAATTCACCGCACCGTGCGAGAAAATTGATTTTCCGCACTGTTTAATTGTCCTCACTCTCGTAGAAAAAAAAATGTTTTGAAGGCTCAGAGTAAACGCTTTTGGGCGTGGCACCTGGAAAAAAATGGGGTCATTACCCCCCCCCAGACGCATGGGCTGGATACGCCAGTGCTAATTTAAAAATTTTGAAAAAAAAAAAAAAAGTTTATTTTGGCTTAAAACTATGTCACTCAGTTTTCCTTTGTTTGATAGAGATCCACATTATTACCTATGTATTTAGAACTTTTTTTTTGTTATAGTTTTTCGAAAATATTAAACAACGTTTTAGAATATTTTTGGTTGTGTCTGCATGAGAATAAAGATGCTTTGTGATAATTTTCAACTTATTTTCAGATTTTTGTTTTGAAAAGGGCGAGGAAAAGGGTGAAAATTATTCTAAATGTGAGAATTATTTGATTTGAAACTGGACAAAATGACGAGCTAATATGAAATATCTGAACAGCGTGATTTAGAGCCAACTGGTTAAATACCTCTTCCTTCGTTTATTAGGATGTCAGGATGTATAAACATTAGGTCTTGCGACCATTTGATCTGTCTTTACCTGTAGAGTTTCTTAAATAACTCTTCAAAAGGCTAACTGGAAACAAGGATTTTTCATATAGGTATAGCAAGTTGTTACTATAGCGGCCGAGTTCGTTTTTGTCATCTTTTTTGTCGATTTGCTCCGAAATTTTGACAGGCACGTGACTGGATAAGACAGTTTCAATTTACAAATCACGTGCCTGTCAAAATTTCAGAGCAAATCGACGAAAAAGATGACAAAAACGAACTCGGCCAGCCAATAAATACTTAGCCATTATGAAAAGATGATGATAAATTATTGGAAATAACTTTTTTTTGCATACAGTGACGGTTCAAATGGAAGATTTTGGCTTGGGTTCAAAATCTATCAAGAAATTCATCTACTCGTCTCTTTATGTTTATGTTTAACTCATAATCTACCATCAGGGCCACAATCCTTTTAATTTCTCTATTTTTGGTTTTTCTTGTAATTAATTTATTTGATATTCTAAGACGAATTGCTTTCTCAGTTGAAAAAAATGAAGTTGTGCATAATATACAACTTCCAATAACTGAAGGTACTGCACACCCTTCAGTTATCGCTAGATTCAAACTATAGAAGAACAATTCACAAGCCTAGCTTTAGGATATTGTTACAGATTCCGCGAGACCACTAAAACTGTCTCTACTGTCAATAACTTTTACTGGACTAATTGACTTTCAAAGTTCACTCATCATCTTCCACTTTTACTTACTTTCTACAACAGTAATTCTTTTATTAACGACTACTAGCTAACTTACAAACTACGCAAGCCCGTAGCCAGGTTTTGATTCCAGAGGGGGCAACCTAACATTTAGAGGGGGCAGACTTATTTTTTTTTCAGCATTGCCTAAAAAAATCACGACAAGATGCAGAAACTTTATTTTCAAAAGTAAAAATAACTAGAAAATATAAAACCTTAACAAAACACCAAAAATAATAAAAATACATAAGAGCGCACTTGAAAGGACGTTAATGACATTGAAATCTGTCAGTTCTATGTGGATTTTTTCAAATTCGTCTGCAAAGAGAAAAAAGCTCACATCAGGATTGGCTCAAAATTGACATAAACATTCTTTGATGGATTATCTACAATCTGAATATTCTAGCTTTTCGATAATTTGCGTTTTTCTCGAAATGAAAAGTGTATATCTGGGCTAGGATTCAGTAAAGAATAGAATTTTTTCTCTACCTCTATTGAGGTCCCCTCTCTATTGATTTCGAAGAGAGAGAAGAAGATAGCTACTATCATAGCGATAGGGATAACGATCTCTATCCATTATAGAGTCCCCGCACTGGTTGCCGTTATGGATTAGGTATTTCTGAAAATTCGCAAAATATAGAAAACCGAAATATTCGGATTGTAGATAATCGATCAAAGGATGTTTATGCCAATTCTGATGTGAGGTTTTTTTTCTCTTTGCGGACGAATTTTAAAAAATCCACCAATTAGAGCACAGAACTGTCTGATTTCAAATGTCATTAATGCCACTTACCTTGAGGTAAAAATATGAACTAAACGGTGGTTTTCAGGGGCGTGCCGAGTTTCTTGGGGGCCCTCCCGCGAGATTTTCCTTGGGGGCCCCGAACAGTTTCGGTAAAAATAAGAGTAAACAAAAAAATATCATAATAGTTATTTATGATATAAGTTCTAAAAAGTGACATTTTATTTTATGAAAAGGGAAGTTCGCATAGGACACGACACGACGCCGAAGGCGGAGTGTTCCATCCCTTTGAACAAAATAAAATGTCACTTTTAGCACGAATATCATACACTATTTTTTTTACAAACGCACTAAAAGTGATTACTTTTAGCATCCAGTGCTAAAAGTAATCACTTTTAACACAAGTATCATAAAATAGCATTTTAGACACTGACAGCATCCGTTAAAAATGACACTTTTAGTGACGCTTGTAGAATTTTTTTTTATTAAAGATGAACATGAAATAAAAAATAAGTACTACTCTGGTAAAAAAAAAACAGATAAAAAAACTATGAAAAAAATTGTGAAAATAAAAAAATAATAACCAAACTCTGGTTCAAGCAAAACTAAAACTGAGAAATAATAGAGAAAAGTGTACTAAAACTATGTTTTCTGCGATTGACAAAAAATGTCAGCAGGTTGACCGGTTGACAGGTCGCCAAACCCAATATTCTGGTATTTCAATTATGTTTCAATAGTTGCTAAGGAATCAATGAATAACAATACGGGAATCACTTTTCCGGCCTAGGCCGGGAAAATCATTCTCGTACTGCTGAACAATTGGAACAAAAAGACAAACATTTAACAGAGATTTAACCGATCACAGAAAAAATAGTATGTGTATTCTGGTGGAAAACCACATTCTCGGCCGACGGTGTAAGTTAACAGGCGAGGCGTAGCCGACGCCGGCAATCATGAATGTGTCACTGTCATCACAGTCATGAACGTGTCACTTTTCTACCCAAATACACAATATACTATTCTCTAATTACTTTGGTCTATGGTGGTAGAGACTAGATTTTGTGTCGACTAGATAAATAATGATCAACTAGTTCAACAATATTCACAACAACACGTCTAGTGTTGCCGGTGTGAGCAAAATTATGGCGCGTTGGAGTCTGAGGTGGAGTAAAAATTAAACGATTTTATATAAAGGATATAAAGTTCAATCTTTTCCAATGCATCCGATGGTTGCAAAAATTAAGAAATCTTCGATTTTTTTGAAGATTTTCTTTAACTGACACTCGAACTGACATACGTGGAAAAATATTTTGTGTGAGAAGAATATACCTTGTTTGATTTGGGGGCCCCAAATATCCCGGGGCCCTCCCGCACCGCGGGCCCGTCAGGCACGCCATTGGTGGTCTTATAAACGGAAAACGGTCGGTAATTGGAGTTTATAAAAGCATTGATAATATTATCCGGAAAAACAGAAATTAAATCACATAATTTGTTTTGAGATTTTATGTAATTTTTTTTTTCCTATGTAATATATTTTTTTTCTAGTCTACTCTAGAGTGGGCAACTTTTTCTCTCAGAGTGGGCATTGCCCACTCTGCCCCCCCCCCCCCCCCCCCTAGCTACGGGCCTGAAACTACGACGACAAAAATATTCATTCGAGAAGTCTCTAAAATCACGTAAATGTTTGTATATTCAATATTCAATAGCCTAATAGAATTCCTAAATACTCGCGCTCGGTCGTACACGCAATACTCAAGAGAGGAAGTATCCTCTCTTTTAGATAAGATCGTCTCGATTTTACCATTTATTCCCTTGATACGCCTTTACCCTTGTCATCTACGTCTATACTACACTAAAATCCATAATGATCCGAAGGACATATAGGCTTATTAGCTCCCTGTTCAAGCAATATGGAACCTTGTCGACCAGCTAGAAACAACTACTCCGAAGTTATTGAATTACAATAGCTAGTCTAAATTTCCGTTGGCAATGTGATTTGTAGAAGGTTTTTCCAGGTATTAACGAACATGAAGTAAAGGTCATCCTAGTCCTTGTTTGGGAATTAATTCGCTGATCTGCAGATGGAATTTGAATGGAATTGGATTTCCAGCCAGTTTTTGATAAGTCAAATCACTTATTAAGTGATTTGAAGTATAAAATTAGACCTTAACCGAGAGTCCTTAGTTGAGAGGTCATGCTAATGAATCTAGTTTTCATCGACATGCGACCCGAGCAGCCGTCGCACAGGAAGCACGGTTCAAAATTTTCGAGAAACAGTTTTTTTGTCTCTATATAGAAACCAAACTAAAGGACCATCATCAACCTTCCATGAATTACCCATACCTTATTTTTTTTGGGCTTCTATTGTTCTTTTTTGTATAATGCTTTTCACATTAGCAACAATGTACATACCTTATTGCATATTCCACAGAACAAACGAAGCACAAGAAATCTGACGTTTATTCCATATACCTATATTCTGAATAAGAATCACATAAAATCAACATACATATTTACAAACTGATGGGCTTCTAAAATGAAGACTAATTCTACACAACTATCAACATTAACATTATTTTATTGATATCAAACCTCGTTTTTTTACAGGCGATCGTTGAAAAGTTTCCAGTCAACGCTATTCAAGATCCAACAGCGTTTATGAGCACAGAACCCACGGACATGTATAATAACATCTTAGTATTTATCATTGCCGATTCAAGTCAATCTTCACATTCACCCGAAATGCAAATGCACATATTCCAGGTAAGAATATTTTATGACGAAGTAAATGGCTAATTAGCTTTAGTTGAAAAATTATGTAGCGACTCATGCCTACCTGTACTTCCATAAAAGTATTTTTTATATTTTAATAAACGGGGTTATTGAGAATGATCAACTATATAGATATCAGAAGTTGACAAATACAAAGTAATTATTGTTCAATCGAAAAAAACAAACAAAAAAAAAATTGGGCGTTTTCTAGTGCAACTGCTACCTACCTATACTCTATGTCACTTCTATATAGTTTAACAACTGTCGACATCTGCGACAACTGAAAATTTGTATTCTAAAAACAATTGTATCTCTTTTATGTACACTTTTCTGTGCTAGACTTAACATTCACTGTTTTTGAGATATTTGGTACCTATCTCTAAACCAACGAAAATTTTCTCTTGGGATAAACATTATAGATACCAAATATGTCAGTCACAGTCAATTGTCTTTATGCTGAAATTCCGCATCGATATCAATGATAAACATATACAGAAAAATATATAGATACTATAAGAAATTGGGTCATTAGGTAGAATTGAAATGTTAGCAAATTTTTCAATAACATGGTGGATAGGATCAAATTGAAGCCACTCTGAAGAAATTAGATTAATCAGGGGTGAAAAAAGAGGTTTTTTTTATCTCTGGCAACCCATGGCAACTTGAAACTGATTAGATCCTCTTGTCAATTATAAATGAAAAAAAAAAAGAACAATCAATTAGATACAATATGATAACATTTCCAAGTAGCTTGTGCTATGTTATTTGTGAATTACTAAATGATTTTAAAAGTATGTAGGTACCTACTCACTCGAATTTTTATCAGAGAAAAGTTAATAGACGATGCTCAAAATTAATAAAATTTACTCGATTTCGATAACAAATTAATAAACTACATAAGAGCCCAAGAATAACGATGATATCTATATAAGCGGCTTAATGTACCAGGTGTTTCACCTAAGGAGATAACCGGCTATATCTCAGGAACGAATAATCAATAACACTAGAACTTTGAAAAAAAATCATAAAAGCGACCAAGAGAAATTGCTGGAAATTATTTACAAGTTTGTAGGATAGCCGCTAGGGGTCGCAACTGTGATGTTAAAAGATAAAGCTCCCCCCTTCACTTTATTTCACATTGGACAAAAATTTGTACCTGAGCTTTTTTGTTCAGAAAGTACCAAAGATTAAAATGATAATAGGTCTGTTTCTGCAGAAATCACAATTTCCAAAAATCCAGCAATTTCTCTTGGCCTCTTTTATCAATAATTTCTTTTTCTCCAAAGTTCTAGTGTTATTAAAGTTTCTGGGATATAGCCAGTTACCTCCTTAGGTGAAACACCCGGTACATGCTTTTAATTAATTAAAACGTGAATAAAAACAGCTAAACTGTATTTTGCAGTGTCAAAGTATATCAGCCCAAGATTTGGTAGAGGATTTAAAGCAACTTAGAATGGGTAAAGCACCTACAAGAAGTCGTAAAAGCAGTATCCCACCACCTTTACATAAACCACCACAGCCAATTGTTAATCCTGCAAGAGATCATGGTAGAGATTATTTTAATCAAAGATCAGATTCAGAACTAACAGAAAATAATGATGATTCAAGCTCAACCACTAGTGAAAAGTATGAACGAGATGTCACTATATTAAATCACTGTTTTGACGATATTGAAAAATTTATCGCCAGATTGCAACATTCAGCTGCTGCTTATAAGGAGCTTGACCGTAAAAGGAAAAACAGGCGAAACAAAAAGCGCGATATGGGAGATGGTATGTTGACAATGAGAGCTAAACCACCACCAGAGAAAGAGTTTATAGATATATTTCAAAAGTTCAAGTTATCTTTTAATTTACTTGCAAAACTAAAAGCGCACATTCATGATCCAAATGCTCCCGAATTAGTTCACTTCTTGTTTACGCCTCTAGCACTTATAGTAGAATCATCACACGACTACTACTTTGACCAACACATCCCACAAAATGTTATTGCTCCATTGCTTACCCGGGAAGCTATCAACTTACTGATGAATTGTGTCACTAGCAAGGAAACAGAACTATGGCATTCGTTAGGTAATGCTTGGCTAGTACCTAGAGACCAATATAGGGGGCACGTACCATCTTATCATCCAGTTTTTATGGATGGATGGTCTCCAGAATATCCCGTAGACGAACCGGAACCAAATGAAAAACATTTTGGCCCAGATGATGATGATTCTGATAGCAATTTTATCTCACCGATTGGAGAGAGCACAGCTAAAAGTGACATCTCGGTAGATTCAATTGAAATTAAAGGCGAAGAAAAAGGTTTCGGAATGGATCAAGAAAGGTTCTTGGAAGATCTTCAGAATAGAGGCGCCTATATAGTTCAAGTAACATATCCTAGAACTGCTAACAACGATAAGGAGCTGACAGTTGTTCGAGGAGAATTTTTAGAGGTAACTTCCAATATCCTGAGCATTAATCAATACGCTGAATAAAAATATTTTCAGATTCTTGACAGTAGCAGAAAGTGGTGGAAAGCTAGAAACAGCAAGGGACAAGTAGCTCATGTACCCAACACTATTGTTACACAATATCATTCTAGCAGCATGAGTCCACATCTCAGAAGTTCCATTCTTAGAGAGGTAATTTTTTTACATTATTATAGTAATTTCAATATAACCTTCCCTTTGGTTAGGGTTGAGAGTGTGATCCAAAACTTGGTTTAGGGAAAATTTCTAGAAATTCATTGATCAGATTGTCTACGCTTGACCGGTACAAAACTTGTTGTCTCATTGGTTTAACCATAAATCCTCTTTTTGGCAGATTTCAATTTTTTTCGGCAACCTTCACTAACGGCTCCACCTGCAGTGGGCTTCGTCCACTGGGTCCAGTCACTGTACTGGGTCCTAATTAAGGCGTGCATCCCTTCAAGTATAGACCACGAGCCGCCAATGGTTTGGAAGCTCTACCCCCCCCCCTGAATGGTGCCATAGATCCGCCACTGGTCGTTTCAAATGTTTTATTTTATACTAGATTCACTTGATGATACGCGAACAATCAGCTTTTCAATGCCATTAACAGAACGCCTTCAGTTGTCTATATTGTGAATTGGTATATATTGGTTCTATCATTTTTTGCCAACTCCACTGATTCTAACTACTGATTCCTGGTACTGTTTAGAGAGTTATTGGAACTATTAAATACTGCCACGCAGTATTAAGGATCTGCGTTATTTTATTAGTGCATCAGCACTATTTTTCCAAGAAAAAAACAGTTATTGGAAGACTATCCTTGCGTTCGGTATTTTGCTCGAAGAGCAGAGCGTGCAGAGCGGAGCCGTAACCACGTGACCAGCGAGCGAACAGAGCAGTTGAACGCTGTATAAAAGTGCCAGAAATTTTAATAAACGAACGCGAATGAGGATACACCGAGTACACTTTTTGAATAAACGAACGGTAAAGTCAAGCTCGGAGAACTCAGACCAAAATAACGAACGCACGGTATGTAGTAGGTGCTAGAGTATTACCTTATTTTGTATTCATAATTTTGACAGATGATAGATAGCTATGTTTATAAATTTCAGCCTCAAAAAGTGTTTATTTTTGTTTGTGATTTTCTGCTGATACTCATTTTTTGATGTTACCCACAGTAAAATGGAAAACCATATTGTAAAAAATAAATTGTCTAAGTAAAATTACGTCATCGTCGAAAAGCAAAACGTCAAAGTCGTCCAAAATGTCAGAAATTTGAAATAAGGGAAGTTTACTGCCTCGCACTAACCATTCACAAATAAAAACAAGCAGTAACCTTATTAAGGGAATCCTTATTTTCGCACCCAAACGCGCATGCGTAGTTGTCAAAATAGGGCTAATTCAAATACTGCCTGTTCTAATTGCACGTCCGATAACTCTCTATTATCAAAGTAGAAACTAACGACATTAACTTTACGAAAAAAAACTTTGTTCCAAGAGAGAAGTAATAGTTAATGTTAGTTTCTTAGCTGAGCTAAGTTGTTTGATCGTACGCGAAATTCTAATAAGCTGATCAAAATCTACATAGAAATAGCTCAGTCTCAAATATGGGTGTCTTAGCAGGGGTAAAGATGGAGTTGTGTCAAATCGTATACGTGCAACTCAGTTTTCTTGAATTTAGGTCAGAAAATGGTTTTTCCGTAAGCAGCTAGTATCCAAGCTGCAGCGAGTATGCATAGAATGCGGTTTACCGGGTAAAGCCCAAAAGATTATTTAAATTATAATTCGGTCTTTACCCACATGCCTAGATTTAGCAGCTAGTCTAACTTTACCCATAACATAGGTACTTTGAACTGAAAACAGGAACAGATAATTACCTTTCAATTTAAGTTCATTATAATTTTGAAATAATCAAACTCTAATGATGCCTTGAATTTTTAGGATTCTCCACCACATACAAGATACCCTGGACAAGGTTCCAGTGAGGACTATAGGATTCAAACAAAGCCTGCTGAAGCAATAAGAAATGAGAGACTTGGTAAGAAGGGGGAGTTTCGCTATTTTTAGGATGTTTACCAAACATTCGTTGTGAATTGCTTTTTGTGCAATGTGCTCTTGTGTTTGCATTATTTTAAAATATATATACTTATATATTGGTATTTAGCACAACTTTGATTTAAAGTTCAATCTTTTCCATTTGACTGCTACAATGTGTATGTGAAATTTTTTAAATTAACATAAGTATATTTTTTAATTGCATAATAAGTTTTTGCATCAATTGGCGAATCTATTTCGATACATTAGACTATACATAGATATTTTTATTCATTCATAAATTGCCTCGCTGTTTTTACACCTGTTCAACATCGATAGGGATGTTCCTTCTAAATTTTCCAAGCACCAGCACTACTCCTTCCGTCCAGAGGAAACAATTAAGTACACCAGACTATAAGACCGCATTTAAAAAAAAATTGAAGGCAGGAACTAGGAAAATGCTCCAGAATTAGTTTATTTCTTGTTTACGTCCTTAGCACCTATATTGGAACCTGCATACTGGATTAAAATACATTTTGGTGTAGAAGCTAGAATAATCATTAGGTTTCTTCAACCTTAAAAATGTTATTTTGGCGAACATATTTCAAAAATCTTTATTGCTCCAGTGGTTACCTGGAATGCTATCAACTTAATTATAAATGATGTCACTATCAAGAAAACAGAACTAGGTAATGCTTGTTAGTACCACCGCTTGAGACCAATATTGGGGGGAATTTACCATCGTACCATCCAGCTTAGAAAGGTAAATGGGAGATCTTCAGAACAGAGGCGCATATATGATTCAAGTAACTTATCTTACAACTGCTAACAAGATTGAGGAATTTAGTTTTGTTAGATGTTACTTTCAATGCCCTAAGCAACAATCATGTTGATTTCGGATGAGTTTGAAGAAGAACCAGATTGATAAAAACGATTTTTTTCATTCAGTAGTCAGTACCTACCTTGCCTTTGTTATGGAAAAAACAGAAAATTTTCACTTATCTCTGTCCAGGTGAGATTTATATTCAGCCGACATTTTAAAATATTATACGATTTGTGCAGAGCTTTATTGACATGAAGAAAGCTGCAAGAGGAACTGTGCTAGCAAATAATGCAAATAAGTAAAAAAAGAGTTGATAATGAATTAAAACTTATGACGGACAATCTGGTGAAATACAAAAAATGTACCAAAACTAAACTTGGAATACTTGATAATCAACATAAGGGATGAGGGTAGGAAAAGTCGAGTTCCAAACCTTCAATGCTACCCATAAAAAAATATTGGAACGGTCGCATATAACACTGGTGCTGCTCCTGAGCTGTGAAATAAATAATGATAATGACCAATAATTGTCTAATTTAGCGTGCTGGTGTCGTCGGTCGGTGCATTCTAGGTATGCCATACGGCTTAGAATATTTCTCGATTTTGGCGGAGTGTAATCAAAAAACTATATTTATCTAATGTAACTATGTATTATCTAAGGGTGATCGAAATACAAATACCTAAGTCAAAGCTAAGTTAACGAAACGATTATTTTTCTGAACCGTACCGTACTATGTAGGTACTTATACTTTCTTTTGATAATACCGTTTTTCCTTCTCATCATTTACTTTTTGTAGATTTAATAATTAACAAATTTCTGTTGGCTTTATAATTTATATTTTCATTTTATTTTTATACTTCATACTGCATATGCCAGACTTTTTTTCTCTTCTTCGTAGTCTGATAAAGCTAAATTTTCAAAATAAAAATATGTTAAAAAAAAATATTGATTCGCCACTGATTCATTAATTTTTATAATTATAATTTTTAATTTTTATTATTTTTGTTATATTTTTAAAAACTTTTAGATCTAACAGATTAATATTCTTTCCACTTTATGTCTTGTTTCGAATGTTTGTGTATAGTTTTCCATGATGCATTACATATTCAACTAAATACCTACGCTACATTATTTTTTTACTAAAAAATAGGTATAAAATGAGATGTTTTTATGCGCAAAATGCGTTCCAATGTAATTAAAGGGGCCTCATTCAAATTATGACACTATATAATTTATAATACCTATACCCAATTAATTATTTAAGATAAATCACGCAAAGCTAATTATTGTACTTAATATTTTTTTATACATTATTTATACCTAGAGAGTGTACTTTTTATTCTGTACAAATATATTTTTATGTCCTAAATATGTCTGTGCTTTTATGTTTTGTTCTTGTCCTGGCTATGTTGAAAAGGTTTGTTTGATAATTTTTTCAAAAGCTTCTACATTTTCAGAAGAAACCCCTCAAAAACAATCGGCACCCCCTCCTCCACCTCCTCCAGAGACTCCTTGTCCGCCTCCACCCCTACCTGCGTCAACTGTCCATCCAATTATTTCAGCAGATACCCTCAAAAAAACGAAACTACAACGAACTCCCTCTCGCCAATCTGTTGGTTCAACTTACAACGATGCTATGCAAGAAGAACTTAATAGCGTTCTGACTTTGATGAGAGAGAAAGAGAAAATCCGGCCGGCACTTGACATTAGAGCAACTCCAGAAACTTATATAGATCAAATCAGTACCCCTAAAGATGTACAAAATTGGTTAAAAGTTAAAGATTTCAACGAGGCTATTGCTAATAAGTTCAAGGGTGTATCTGGATATCAACTTATGGCAATGACTAAACAGGATTTGGAAAAAGTTTGTGGGAAAGAAACTGGAGGCAGAATGCATTCATTCTTACTTGTACAAAAGTCTGTCAGTGGAGTAAGTATATTGACAAGGACTTTTGTCACCATCTATAGGTTTGATTTAAATGAAAAAAATTATGTTTTCTAGTTCAAAACATTCAGATCAACCGAGTTACAAAAACGTTTGGCCAGACAGCGACAAAAAATTGAAAAAAAACCCGATGAAACTGATGAAATTCCATTTGAATTTTAGTTTTTGTGTTTTGAATAGTGAAAATATGAATTAAATTTTAAATTTGTTTTAAACTGCCAATGATATTTTATAAAGGTACCAAATATTTTCCAATGTGATCAAGAAACCAACTACTATCTTATGCTATGACATACATATATGTCTATTTAATTAAAATGTTACTAAGTTTATCATTTTATGTTTATATTATTATTATATTATTTATATGCCCAGTGTTGAAGTTGTGCAATATTTTATGTACGTATTATGAATTTAATTATTAATTAAATTAATCTGAAACTTTTTTTGTTATGTTTATTATTTATTTCATCAGTTAGGTAGCTATACTTTTTAATACCTAATACGATATACCGACTATACCGTAAACGACCGTCCGGGCAGCATACCCTTTGCGTACCTATATAAAGTTTTTTTTTTTTTTTTTCAAAATTTTAAACTACCTATTAGTACTATTACCGAGATATAAGATTTGAAAGTTCCAAAAAGAGTCATGGGCTAAGTAGGTAGGTACCATCGTCACAAAAAGTAACTGGAACTGCAACATATTAGCTCTTGTATGATGAGGAATATGACTTAGTGTCAAATATTTGTCAAATTATGAATAAAATGAATGATGGTCGAAATAGTCCAGGAGATTATTTTGGATTATTTTTGTTCCAGATACTTTTGGTGATAATTATGATTTTATACCAAAATGGCAGTGTATTGTGGAGGTTCGGGATCCAACATACCTGATCAAAATTTAAATTCTGCTGCTGCGCGTAGAGAACGACCACTTGCTCTGAGTGTGAAGGGTCGCATATCGATCTTTTTGAGAAAAGGCCACTTAATCGCCTGTGCGTAACATTCATTCTATCAATGATGGTAGAACATTGCGACAACTATGAAAATATTGTTATGGATAGACACTTTACTACTACTAAGATTGATGTAGAATTCATATGGAAAAGTCATTTCAAAAAAAACTATGGCGAAAGAACTGAAGACAGTATGTTATTTCATTTGGATAATATGCTTAAAGCATTATCAGACAAAAACGGTAATCTCTTCAAAATAATTCGAAAACAAGAAAATTATGCGGCACTCTGCACACCAATTATGCAGAGTTGCAACGCTTTACCAGCCGTTAGAGATTTTGTTTGTTGATTCCACAGGCACCTGCGGTATACAAAATCATGAGGTTTACTACTTTGTAACACAGTCCGGTATTGATATCAGCCTTTGGAATGCGTTTTTTATTTTTATGATGTAATTTGAAAAAGTGTAGAATTTTCATCAATTTATTTGTGGTTTATACGAGGGCGCTGCATCGGTGATCGTTTTTTGTTTTGTCCCGACATCCTTAAAACTGGGTTATCATCAGCGCAAGATTTCTATCAAGCGTTGCAGACGATAGTACTCCGCAAAGCTGATATGGGGTTTCTTGTCAATCATTTATAAAAATGAGAAACAGTAATGCGGAGAGAATTGAGCCTAAGGGAACGCCGGCATTTACAGGCAGTGTATCAGAAGTCACACCATCGACCACAACCTGCCTTCCAAAAAGCGTCCCAGCCAATGGCAAAATTTGTTCGGAACACCATACGATGGAAATTTGTTGAAAAGACCTTTGTGCCACATCTAATCAGAAGCCTTGAAGATGTCCAATGCTATAATTCTGGATTTGCCCTGTTTTTCGAGAGTCGAGTCCCAAATAGGTATGGATTGACGTACGCCAGCAGATCCCCTGTTGATTTTTTTGAAAGAAACCCGTACTGATTGTCAGAGATGAGCTAATTGGCTTCGAGGTATTTAACCAGTTTCACGTTGACTGCCTATTCTATCACTTTCAAAAATACGGATATGTGAGATGGGACGTTAGGCAGGGGGCCCATCGAAATAGCGTGGCTTATGATGTGGCGTGTGATCTAGCAAGTAGCACGCATCTGGCATGCTACATCAAATCAAGCGAACATAAACAAATAAGCAAGAGCCCACTGAAGTGGCAAGGCAAGTAACATGCATTTGGTGGCACGTAACGTAATGCGTACCAATTGCTAGATCACATGCCAGTTCATAAGCCACGTTATTTCAGTGAGCGCCTAGCCTTAATTGCTACGAAGTGTTTTCTTGCCCTTTTTCAGGATGGGCTGCAATCTGGCATATTTTCAGATAGACGGGAAAACGACTCGACTCGAAGAGTGAAAACAGTTTGCAAAGAACTGAAGCCAATTCGTCTGCGAAAGTTTCGAGGACAATTTGTGTAATGTCGGGACCACAAGATTTCCCATTGGCAAGTTGCAGAAGAATTTCTCTAATAGTTGTAGATCTAAATACAACTTTATCCATGTGTGGCAGTCCAAAGGCGATGACACAATTATTGGTTGTGTAACTCCTCAGTCTCCTTGGTTATACGGTTGCAATCATTTCTGGCAGCATGGCAGCATTAAAGGACGATCGAGTTTGTTCGCATTGGTTTCCACGACAAGGACGATATGTGGTATTCTTTTTTGCAACCGCTCGGATACACTGCTTGTTTAACCAGGGTTTTCTGGCACGGAATGTTTTATTGGAGTGTGAAATGTACAATTCCATACCTAAGGAAATTATTTCGGTAACCTCCTCTGCAGCCTCGGAGGAATCTTTGGATTTAAATCAAACGCTACGAGGTATTGGAGCAGGGGCTGAGGATATAAACAAACTAAGCTCGAGCGGAAATCAGTTTGTGGTCTGATTTGCCCAAAGGTAAAAAACACATCGATCTTGTAAGGATCGGGATAAGTGGTAAGGAATAAATCGGGTAATTTGATTTTCCTTTACTTGTGATTCGCCTGCAGACACTAGTTGCTGCGATAACACGCTCTTGAACCTGTAAAAAAACATTTATCTTCAAAAAATATAAATTTATGCACACAACCTGCGGTAAAGTTTTTAACAAATTATCAAAAGCTTATAGTTATTACCTTTACGAAGAATAGTGAAGTGACGTCTCCGGCTAATACTAATAAGTACATAAATTTTACAATACTATCAATAATCTCGCGTTTTTGCCCATTTAACGCTTTGCTTTTCACTATGCTATTGAAAGGCATGCAATGTCAATTGTTACTGTCATAGTTGTTTATAAATAATGCGTTTTCATTCAAATTAAACTTTAACTACCCGCGCCGGTGTATAAAATACACCATTTCTCCTAAAAGAGCGGTAAAAACCCTATCCGGTATGCCCCACCTACGCCCGTCGATGTAACCTACGACCGATTTGTTTAATACTATGTGCTCAGGCTCAGACAGTTGCGCTTTGGTAGCTGGAAAGTTGGTTGGTTTATTGATAATTTCTTTAGTGCACTTCACCAGACTGTAGTGCACTGCAAGCATTCATGGGTTTGCTATTGTTATCTGGATACAAGAAACAAAATCATACCCACTTTTTAGAACTCTGGACGACAGATGGTACCGGTTCTGAAAAATTTCAAGCATGTATGGGTAAAAACCGATTGCTAGCATGACAAATCAAGGCAAAATGTTTCGTTATCCATTGATTCATGCACTCAATCACACATTCATAAATGTGGTGTACATAATACACCGCGCGGGTAGCTACAGGAAATTCTAGAGCGCGGGCAGCTAAAGGTTTTAAATAACTGAGGAATTTTCGAAAAGTTCAATATATCCTGACAATAAAAGCAATGAAAGAAGTAAGTATATAACCCAAATAAGAATGTGCATGTGCACATATTTATCTAAGTATTTTTTTTTTTGAAAATAAACACATGACAGTTAACAAATTATTACAAGAATATTATTAAAGTATAATATTTGATAATGTATACTTAATTTATGTTAATTATTAATACCCTTACCCGTATAGGCGAGAAATATTTTTGTTCAAGTATTTAATTTTGCCATGCCATTCATTAATACTAATTTAAAATAGGTAGTCTCTTGTCAAAAAAATACGGTGAAGGACGAAGGAAGTTATTCAAATAATACGCCTTATTTAATTTATGCGACATTCTTACGCCACTAATAGTATGAATACCTAGCATATTATTATAGGAGTATAGTAAAAAAGTGTTTGAATTAAGAATCCATGTTGGAACTGGTTTCTGATTTTTGATTCTTTGTCATAGAATTAACCACATTGACGACAAACTATGATTCTAGCATTATTAGAGACTTGTTTTTGAATAGCTCTTTGCGTTGCCAAACGAACTTTTATTTTTCATTAACTTTTGAGATGAACATTATTATATTCAAGTCTTTTATTTATTTACACAATAGTAAAGTTCGCCTCACGAGTCTAGCACTATGGAAAGAATGTCGATAAAGAATTGCAATATTGCCTATTTGACTTCCAATAGAAAATACCTTAATATTTATCTATGTTACACACCTACGTTCATAAGGAAAAAGTAATATTTAAAAACGCTGCGCGCACGCCTATCACAGGCAGCATAAAGATCGAAATGAATGGCGTTATTCTCCCTTGCCCTTCAGACGTCGTAGTGCTAGACTCGTAAGGCGAACTATAATAGCACAATTATATTCTGAACTAACACCCTTTTGTTCCCTCTCAAACAATAACACATATCTTACTTATGTAGCATAGCATTTATTTTGTTATGAAAGACGTAGGCAAATAGGGTGGTTAATTTACTTTCGAGCGTGCATCTTGGTAACCCGTTTCAACTTAGAATAGATAAACATATTCTTTTAGCTTTTTTAAATAAATTACTTTTTAAGTGAAAACATGTGGAAACCTAATCTACGCAGTTCCTCAGGGTGCAAGGCAAGGTTTTAAAAACCCGAAAAACGGAATTTGCCTGACTTTGTCATTTTGTCTGGTTTGCTTTTATTGTTTTTGAGATGTTTAACAATAGTGATCAGATTCACTTTTGAAAGCAATATTGATGTCCAATTTATTTAAGTAAGAACTGAGTTTTTTTGCTTGTTGCTATGTTAATGATTTGAAATTTTTATTAGGATTTTGGATTGTTATAAATATAAATAAAACAGACGAACTGGACATCAAATCTGCTTCCAAAATATCAAATTCACTTGCCACACATCTCAACAACAATAAAAGCAAAGAGGACAAAATGTGAAAGCCAGGAGTATATATCACCTAACTTGTAATGATTGTCCAAAAACTTATATAGGCCAGACGTTTTAAAAGGAGGATTTTGAAACTACAGAGCAGCGAAACATGTAATAACTGTTGTCAATGAAATTAGGTATTGAAAATTCAGTAAAAATTATTATCTATTATTTATTAGTTTTTCCAACCATGGATTTTAAATTCAATTTTCACCAAGTATCGGCTAAATCAAGACATTTGAAAAGAAAATACTTTTTGACAAATTTGAAGTGTCTAATCTCTAATCCCCCTGCAAGCTCAAAAACTTCTAATGCACGGGCTGGCGGGCTGGAAATCACCCTTTATATACCTACAGAGTGATATTTCTATTTTTTATTCTCACAACAACCGGTTTGAAATGTATGTAAGTCGAGTTTGTTTTTCAGAGATTACGGTTTGAATCCATTCTCGCTAAAATTTAAAATTTTCCTGAAGCTGGTCCTGTTCTTTTTCTCTTCGGACTCAAGAGAAGCAAGAAGCAGCGTTTTTCTTTCGATCTCCGATCTTCTTGTTGCTGTAAGAGTGCTGCAAGCCAGTCCTGTTCTTCTTGTTCTTTTCTCTGCCTCCGGGCTTTCTTTTCTTGTCTTTCTTTCTTTCTGACTAAGGGCTTCAAGTTTTTGTTCTCTTTTCTGTCTTCGGTCTTCCTCTTCTTGTTTTTCTTTCCGTGTTCGGCTTCAGGCTTCCACTTCTCGTCTTTTATATTTTTCATGGAGTCCCGCAAAATTTGATTAACCCTATCCATTCCGGCTGTCGTGATTAACAGAATACTCTTGCGATCTTTTTTGAAAAATATAAATTTCTCTGTGGACCTGTTTTTCGATGACCAAACAAGTAATGATGTCACTATTCTCCACTTACGATTTCCAATAGAATACTTATAGAATGTTCTGGAACTTTTCAAAAAATCCGTTTGTGAACTCGTTTTTCGGTGAAGTCAATGTTTAAAGTCAACAAAAATCCACTAATTAACTCAAATTGAATCTACTCGGCTACCGCCTTGTATCAAAAACTTCAGTATCGCCGGTTATTTGCTAGTTATCGGCCTTGTCACGTTATAATAACTATTTCCATTGCCATATCGTCAAACTGAAAAGACCACACAGCTGGGTATTAATAGTCAATCTCGACGCTTCGCGTCTCGATTGACTATATTAATCTCTCGACAGTAATGAAACACTTCCCTACTCGGTATGTAATATAGGTACTATTAAACATTTTATATATTGAAGCCTGCCTATTTTTGGATACTAAATAATCTTTTCTTTTTTCTTTCTAAGTTTCATCGATACTTTGTAATTTTATGTACGTTTCTGTCTGAATTTCATTTAAGATATTTACAAAAATATACAAGGATGGATGTGTTTTATAAAACTGACCTTCTATTAGGGTTGTACCCCTTAGGAAAAGGGGTTAATAATTATTTATAAAATTACCTGCAATTGAACCAGTGCGCAATTCGTGGTAAGTATTCTAGGTTCTAAAAGGACCCCTCATTAAGAGATTAAGAAAGTGCGCAGTTCATGCACGTCCATATTCATTAACTCTGCAGCAGGTGTATTGTACATTAGACACAGCATGTTTCCTATAACAGGTACGCCAACATATATTTTTTACGACATAGAATTGGCTGAAACACCTAGCACCTGCCTTTTACGACATTGCACAATTTCGCACGGTATGTGATACGTGATACCACATTAAACAATGTTTTTTGTCCCACGATTGTGCGTGGCTATGCATTTTTCGAAATCTTTTTTAGTATGTGGGTGAAGGAAATGGAAAAAAATATTGCTACTTCACAGAACCTAATCGGTTGTCATTATATTGATATATATCCCATAAATCAGGACGACAAGCACTGCCGTGTGTAGTTGCTTCACTATGTTCATCTCCATCTTAGTAACACAACTTTTTAATTTATGGAATCCTACCCATCAATCAATAACATTTCTTGTTTATATACATAATGCGTTTGTGCTGGGTTCACGTACAGGGTTGGGGCGCGGGCGGTCGCATTCCTCCGGTTCTTTCGTCTGGCGGACTAAAGTCTTCATTTTTTGTTATACATATTAACAGATCACCTGCAAGAACCATTTTTGATGCCTTGATCTCCTATCTTATTATTCTTATTCTTACAATTGCTCTCTTGATAGAAATAAGAAATGTTATTGAATGGGGGGTAGCATTCTATAAATTAAAAAGTTGTGTTACTAAGATGGAGATGAAGATAATGAAGCAGCTACATACGGCAGTGTATCCATTATTATAACGGGTCTTCAAAAAAAAACCAATCGAAGATATTGCTTTGATTACGAAAACGTTCGTCGCACTTCTTTTATTGGTCAGGTTTTTTGACATGACATTTTAACATTAAAGTTCATTGACAAAATTAAAGAATATATTGCTATTAGTATCTTCCTTCAATTTGTATTTCTAGAAATATTTTCGACAATTTCTCCTTGTTTTTTAGATTTTGGTATGTTGTATAATGTTTGTTTTGGTATCCAGACCTGATATTTCTTAGCTACCTACTTAGATACGTAACGTTGTGTTTTACGCAAGGTTCTTTTCTCTGGAAAAAATATAGCAAATCCCAGTATTTTTTTTTAGAAAATCCCACACTTGCATCTTTGTTAACACATTGTATCCAACTGAATTTGCAGTTTTTGCATCCAACATCCAATGTAATCGAACTTGATGTTTTATGCTTTATGTTTTTACTTTATGCAGTATTCTATGGAAATTATCAGAAATTAATTTGGAACGTACTAAGTCGAATATAAAACAATCTCAATCTGACCTGACTGTTCAATTTTTTTTTTTAAATATGAAAGAGAAAAATAGCAATCGGTCTAACTCCAATTATTGTGAAAATTTCACTTTACACTAAAAAGTTTCATCAAAAAAAATAAATCAGTTTTAACGCACAGAAATGTTTGCCAGCAAAAGGGCTACTATGTAGAAGAGGAAAGTATTTGCTCAAAAATATTGTCACGGATTCCGCAAGTTCACTTCAACTCTCTTCACTAACAATAAGTTTTATTGGACCAATTGACTTTATATAATTCACTATCGCTTTTATCTACATAACTTTATATTATATCATCGTTCGTTCGTTCTTTTCATCCTTAGGTATGCTACACTGCAGCCTTGGAGGCTTATTATTGTATCTCATTATATGGGCTCTTCTTCTTCCCATTCATACTTGGAGAGTCGATCATCTCCATCCCGACATCGTG